AAAACGTTGTTGAGCTACCAGTAAAAACTATCAAGAAGGGTTCTAATTCTATGGTTAACGTTTTACTTTAAGACGTTGGAAGCATTAAAGAAACACATTTTATCTCACGTTGCCTAATGTTTTTATGTCCAAAATCAAATAAAGGCGTCAAGTGGGCTTTAAACAAAAAAAATGCACACTAATTTTCTTTTTAGTTTTTTGCCTTGTTTTTTTCTTTCTAGAATGGGCCATTTTGTATATCCAATGGCGTAAACAACTTACATGAATCATGAATGGGTTTAGAAAATTCATTATCAAAACTCGATAATGCTTGTGGGATTCTTAAGTAAACATCAATTAAGCTGTCTTGAGTTTCAAATGAAACTATGAGACTGCCACAGCCACTACGTTTTGTGGTTTGTATACTTTTTACGTTTATTAAAGTAGTTTAACTCTTGAATATTATACAAAAACACATTTATTTCGAAACTGTGTCACAACGACCTCAATATATGCATTTTTTTTTGTCGGGACCTCAATATATGCTAGTACAAGATTATTCCATATACGACAAAGCCTCTTCTTTGGCCATAATGTTCTTAGTACACTTATTTATAAATTTTATATTCTAAAGCATTAAGATGCCTCTTGTTTCCTACTTAACCCTTCTTTTCATGGGCTAATCTTTTGCTTTAATTTTTTTTTCTTAAAAGAATTATATCTTACTCAGCCTAATCCCATACCTTTCCGCAGTGAGTAACCAACGAAGAAACCAAATTATTTTTGTATTGCTATTTGTTTAGGCAACTTGAATATTATCATCCGAAAGTGAGAAAAAGTAGTGATCCTTTGATATTTTTTCTCCGATGTTATTATCTACTTGAGTTTTATTTGTTCCTTCAAAAAGTGACTTCCCCTTTGTGCAACTCTTACGTCATGAATCATACTTATACCATACTTTGATCAATTATAAAAGTATATATACCAAGATGTTACAGATATTGATCATATTGTCATATTGATCAACCATTTTTTGGTTTGGCGGTGGTAGTGTAAAGTCGATAATCAAAGACTTTACAATATCAATTGGATGAATATGAATTTTGAAAGGAATTGTTCCTTTTCTATGTCGAAGATTCCTGAGGTTTAATGGTTATATATATTACTTATATATAGGATTTTCTTTGTTGATAAAATTAAAAAAACTACTATAATATAGTGGACAACCTTCTTTTGCAAGACGAAGATCATTCGAACCTTAAGTGTGGTTTCTGGTTTTAAAAATTGTAAAATCGAATGTTTAGTGCAAAGTTACTGCATTACCGTCAATTAAGGTTCACACTAAACAGTTGTATACACAAAGAGAATTTAAGTAAATCTTGTTTTAGCAAAAAAAAGAGAGAATTTAAGTCATAATTTGGATAATTTTGTTAACATACCTCTACAAAGTTCCTAAGCTTCCTAACAAGATAATGACCATGGTGGTGATCATAGTACATGCATGAATCATGTTGATGACCCGTTGAAAAGAATGTGTG